AAGCCTGTAGAAATACTGTACTCCACTGACAGGAGACGCCGAATTACGGGCTTCAAGGAGACTATCCAAGGACGCATAGCTGCAGCATAAGGATACGAGAGTGAAATAAAATAAACTGCTTCGCTGAAGGATATGCTGAATCAGTGCCTGGTGCCAGCTGGAGCTACTTTAATGGACTGGTCTGCATTCAACTTCATCACCCGTGTTGAACCCAAATAAGCCGCGCACGTGATAGTTTTGACCGTAGCCAAACACAAAAGGACATCGCTGAAACTAATTCAGGTACTACAAGGTCCAGATTTCAACAACAAATTACTTGAGTCCCGTTTAGGTTTCGCCATAACCAGAGCCACAAGTGGCAGATGGAGGCTATGTACCATCAAACTCTCGTAGTGCCAGAACATCAGATGCATATTCTCTGGTGGGAGAATGTGGGGACCTGAGTAGAGACAATAACCTAGCAGGATGAAGGTGCACATCTTTGGTGTGTGGAGTCTTCATGTAAATCCTACGCCTCCGCGCATATTCCAAGACCACAGATCCGAGTTCCTGACATGGTGGCGCTAGGCTGAAGTCAACTTTACGCTTGACGCACTTGCTCCATGTCACTGATTCATCAAAATGAAGCATCACGTTAGCGCGTCAGCTTCAAGACTGTTGGCGCTGGGGTGGAGGATTTCAAGCAACTAAGTGGGCCAGTAATCACAAAGGAGCAGTTGGGCTACCATCCCACTGAGTAGGAAAAATACACTGGCTGAAATTCGATCTGAGGCAAGACAATTGCCAATGGAGTGAGCTCCTGGGGTTAGTAGGGTTCTGGAAGGTGATCAGCTCACATCAGCAGTAAACTAACTCATACAGCTACCAGGAGAGGAGGCTTGCCTGGTCAGTTCTATTTATGACCCACTGGGGTTCGTGGGCCCCTATTCATCATCAAGGCTAAAATATTATTTCAGTGTGAATGCAGGCGCTGATTAGGTGGACTTAACCTTGTCGGGCTGTTAATCACATCACCTTGCTTTCTGGCTAGAGAATTGGCCCATCAAAATTATGTTTCCAGATTCTAAAACAGCATGTGCTAAAGAAACTATCCAGCACAGCACACCTTCTGTGATGCATCGCAGGCTGCTTCCGTGCGGTGACCTATCTGAGAATGGTAGACTCTGGCGGAAGTATCCAGTGCCTGTGTACGGACAGGCCAAGCTGGCTCCACCAAGCAACTGACAACACAAGGCCGGGAACTTTGTGCAGCTATCCGCGTGAACGCTGATCTAACGATTCGCCGAGAAATGACCATGACCATACACCTAATCTTTATTTTTGGACGGAGGCATGTTAGTTTTGTAGTACATCGCTAATTCGAGCAGACATTTCAAACGCTGTAGCTACCAGGATAGCAGCGTCATACAAGAGCTGTCAAGACCTGAACTGAAGCGGAGACATGTCGGCACACGCTGTTCCAGCAGATGGCGCAACTAGGGATTACCTGTCGGATCTGGCTGCAGGATCTCGTGGATACGAGGTCCTGACTTTCTACCCAGTGTTGAAGAACGGTACAAAGGAATCAGCAGTTCTTGAACGACTTACTGGAGGTGAAACGGTATACACCAGAGATCTGTAGCTGTTTCCGGCAGTGAGTGAGTTGGTCAGGCGGTCCTCGCCAAAACTATGGCTCCAGGTACTATCATGGCAATTTTGGTGAAACGGTGGCATGGATTAAAGAACTATTTGGTGGCTTGTCCAGTACAAGGATCTTCCTGGGCAAACTCATACCAAACTGAAGAGGCTACACTGAGGAACTACAGCCGGCTGAGCAGACAATTATAAAATTGGCAGAAAGAGGCTTATGAGAAAGAACCTAAACTGTCATAAAGGGTGAGCTGCCGAAGGACAATAAGCTATATAAACTGGAACTCATTTGATGAGCGACCCAATCATTATAGCAGCTAAATAGTCTGCCAACAAATGGCACCTTGGTCGAAGTGATGGAAGCCGTAAGGTTACAGGATGGACTTCCAGTACCATTGGTGCAGTGGTTAAGAACGACGCACATCCACAATGTGCCAGCGACTCAGGACAAAATTATTATGCTTGTTTGGAGGAGCAACAATGGAAAGGCTGACGTGAGTCGCCAGGAGAATGAATTGGGTCCACATGAAGATGGTGATGTCCTAACGCCAAAGGACCGAGATGTCCTAAGGAACTGATAAGTACCACAAGCCTGAGGCAAAGTAGTCACAAGACTGTGACAAAGCAATACCAACAGCCTGAGGGCAGCTTAGTCAATGGTGAACATGACAAAGTTAACACCACCAGCCTGAGGGCAGTCTTAGTCAGAGGGCAGCTTCATCACAAGGACGTGACAAAGCAAATACCACCAGCCTGAGGGCAGCTTAGTCACAAAGAACTTAAATAACACCAGCCTGAGCAGCAGTAGTCACGAACGTGACAAAGCAAATATCACCAGCTTGAGGGCAGCCAGAATACAAGGACATGACAGTAAGTTAACAATACCAGCCTACGGCAGCTTAGTCACAAGGATCGTGACAAAGCAGCCACCATCAGCCTGAGGGTAGCATAGTCACGAGAACGTGACAAAGTTAAATATCGTCCAGCCTGAGGGCAGCCATCACAAGGACGACAAACCAATGCCCACCAGCCTGGGCAGCTTAATACAAGAACGACGTAAATAAAAGCAATAACACCAGCCTGAGGGCAGCTTAGTCAATGAACGTTAATAAAGCGTAAATATCACCAGCCTGAGGGCAGCTTTAGTCGCTATATGACAAAGCACCACTGTGCCGATGGCAGCTTAGTCACCGTGCGGGCGCGACGTGACAAAGTGAAATACCATCAGCCTGAGGGCAGCATAGTCAATGCAGAACGTGACAAAGCAATATCACCAGCCTGAGGGCAGCTTTAGTCACAAGGACATGACAAAATTAAATACTACCAGCCTGAGGGCAGCTTTAGTCACAAGGACGGACAGTTAAACACCATCAATGATGAACGGACAAACTTAAGTATCAGGCCTGATCTGGTGCAGAGAGCCGCGAACACTAAACGGAGTGGGTGTTACCTAGCGGAGCAATATAATTATGATGACATATAAACAATGCTATGTTAGGCTGTAACTCATATGTCATGTTTATCGTTTATTACAGGCCTGCCCGCATGCAATGTAGAGGTTGAGATGGTTGAAGATGAGAGGTCCAGAAGGAGGTTGGAGGGTGTGAAGGGAGTTGTTATATAGTTATAGTTCTGTCTAATATAGCTGACCAGCCAGGGCCAGGTTATAGGGTGGGCATTTAGTATAGCTCCATATCTTGAGTCAACACCTACCCTGGCTTCTCTAACTTTCTACTGTGTTTAATATTTCTTATTGTGTAGACAGGTAGACTGTGTCATTGTTTTTGTGTTAGGATTAGACTAATTACATAGCCATATATTGGATTAAACATTTATGTAGAGTGCTTATGTATGACTTATTTTAAATACTAAATGAATTGTATTCCAACAGGTTTGATCGAATTATAATGTTCGTATGACGAGAGTATATTCACCCTCTAACCGGCTCGATTGGCGTTACAGCACTTAGCGAGGTAAAAACAAAGTTCACCTCTCAGAAGAACGCAAATACTTCATCGCCAGCCACATCTATTAATTTTTCAAGATAAAATACGCCTCCTAAATAAATATTATTAAACGAGTGGCCTGCGCAATTCAACTCACGGAATGTTCCTGTATAGTATAGCAATACTCAACAAAAGGTCTATGACCCAAGTCAATGCCTCAGCAGCATCATAATCCACTATTATAATTAATCCAATGCCTCTAATCTGATCATATCTCAGTTGTTGCTGAAAGTAGCCCCAAATATCTATGTTAACCCTAAGGATTAGATAGTTTAAAAAATCTACTCACAATAATATGACATTATACCGTAATCTCATGTGATACAGGGCATGCATCCTGATCATGGGACTGGTGTTTCAATTTCTGTCATATTGAGGTCTTGTTTAGAAATATCAGTATTCTATCTTCCATTTACCTTACACAATAATTTAAA